ACCCCATGACCACACGTTCCAAGGCTGGAATCTCCCGTCCGAAATCCATCCTCAATCTTAACACAACAGCATCTATCTCCCCACTTCCTCCCACCTACCGTAGCGCACTAAAAGATCCCAACTGGCATGATGCAATGTGTGATGAATTTAATGCGTTGATTAAGAATAACACATGGGAATTAGTACCCCCCTCCCCCACCTAAAATGTTATATCTGGAAAATGGATTTTTTGACATAAATTTGGCCCTGTCCAGGTACAAAGCTCGTTGGGTTGTTCGAGGCTTTAACCAACATTTCGGCGTCGACTACAGTGAAACGTTTAGCCCGGTCATCAAACCGGCCACCATCCGTATTGTCCTCAGTCTCGCCCTCTCTAAGGGCTGGCCCATACACCAGCTGGATGTCAAGAATGCTTTCCTCCATGGCCACCTACAGGAAACTGTTTATGCCCGGCAGCCTTCTGGTTTCGAGGATCCCTCACGACCATACCACGTTTGCAAACTCAAGAAGGCACTATATGGTTTGAAACAGGCACCCCGCTCTTGGTATTTACGATTCACTGGTTTTCTCCGGCACATTGGGTTCCAAAGCTGCAAAACAGACACTTCTCTCTTTGTCTACATGCATGGATCCCACATGGCATACTTACTCTTATATGTGGATGATATTGTTCTTACAGCATCGACTACTACACTGTTATCCCAGATCACGGAACGTCTGAAGGGGGAGTTTTCCATGACTGATATGGGGGATTTAATTTCTTTCTTGGCATTAATGTTCAACGTACCAAAGATGGCAATCTTTTCTTGCACCAGATGCAGTTTGCTCAGGAAATCCTTGACAGGGCAGGTATGCTACACTGTAAGCCCATTTCTACACCGGTTGACTCCAAAGGGAAGTTATCAGCCACCTCTGGAGAACCCACCACCGATGACTCTCTATCGTTCCCTTGTTGGTGCACTTCAGTATCTTACATTCACTCGACCAGATCTCACTTATGCCGTTCAGCAGCTATGTCTCTATCTTCACTCCCCATGCACGACACACCTTACGGCCCTAAAACGGGTCCTTCGCTATCTTCAAGGCACAGTCACTCATGGGATCACTCTTTCTCGCTCTCCATCGGATTTTCTACAGGCTTACTCTGATGCAGACTGGGCGGGGTGCCCGGACACGCGACGCTCTACTTCTGGTTATTGTGTGTTCTTAGGGGAAAACTTGATCTCATGGTCTTCTAAGCGGCAAGCCACTACTTCCCGATCTAGTGCTGAGGTAGAGTATAGGGCTGTTGCTAATGCAGTTGCTGAAACCAGCTGGATACGAAATCTTCTGCTTGAACTCCATCAGCCACTACACCGCGCCACTATTGTGTTCTGCGACAATGTAAGTGTCGTCTACTTGTCCTCGAACCCGGTACAACATCAACGAACTAAGCATGTTGAAGTAGATATTCACTTTGTTAGAGACAAAGTTGCATTAGGGCAAGTTCGAGTTCTCCATGTGCCATCATCGTCCCAGTTCGCAGACATCTTCACCAAAGGACTCCCCTCACTGCTCTTCACTGATTTTCGACACAACCTTGGTGTTCGGAAATCACCGACGTAGTTGGTAGCATGTTAAATATGTTAAGATAATATTCCATATTTAATATGATTATTATATATATGGTAGATTCCATAATTGTATATGATTCCATTTAATGTAATTTCCTTATACTACACCCTCCTACATGTATATAAGGGGAGGTAAATATTTTGTAATGATTCATTGGAAATATACAATTCTTCACGAACTCATTAACCACGCCTATTAAAATTCCATCCGATCTAAGTGAATCTAATTATCAAAAAATAATTTATCATACTAAAATCACCAACATTGGTTGTAGCAAAGGGAGTTAGTTTTGTTTATGGCTTGGTTGGTTAGATGACTTTGATTTTGAAGTAATAAAGGTTGCGCTTGGTTCCAATGAAAATGGGTATAATTAAACGAGGCTAGTTCTAGAGCCACTAGAATCCAGTGGCTCTAGAACCGGCCTTTTAAACGAGAGAAATTTTATGGGCCGCATGTTGATGACTAAAAAAAGAAATAAAACGAGTGGAAAGTGTTCGTTGAAACATTCAAAAAGAAAGTCTGTAAAAACAAAATTGTAACAGGGGAAATATAAGAACTAACACTGGAAGATAGTAAAAAGAAACCACACAGTGGCTTCTTCCATCACTTTTGCGCAACAATCAACTGGAATAAAAAAGGTGCAAAGACAGAAAATTATAGCTATGATTAGACAGACAAAAAGAAAAAAAGAAAACATATTACTCCGTACTATTTTTTACTCCATATTTGTTTATTGTTATACAGTATTATTGTTTACATCCAGCCAGCCTGCAAAGTGCCAGCCAACAACTGCAGTCATACAACATCCAGAGTACCATTTGATATGCCATCAAAGAGCACAGCACAGCTGGTGTAGTATGGGACATTTGGAATTCTCTAATGGCATGTCTGGGAACATGGATTTGGATTTGAAATCCGGATTTGATACAAATATCTTGTTTGGCAACCTAAAGAATTTGAATTTGAATTTGGACCAAATTCCTCTCATTAATAACCTACTCAATTATAAATTCATACCCAAACCCATGTCATTTGAATTCCCTAGCCCAATTAAAATTAAGTGTCCACATTCACTCTCTCTCGTCCATAGCCTCTTACAGATCCTCTCGTCCATTGCCTCTCTCCAGTTTGCTCAAAAAAATACTACAATTCTGAAATCCACCATCGCCAGATCCAGGCAGACGCTGGACGCCGGAGATATAAAAAAGTTGAAGTCGAAGAAGAGCCTTCCGGTGACGATAAGGTTGGATACTAAGGTCAGAGTGAAGGTCGGAAGCCTGAAAACTAACAAAGTCGGCGACAGAGTCACCTGCGGCGGCATCCGCGTGAGTGAATGTTCCATCGGGAAGGTCGCCGGCGAAAGCCACCGCCCCGGACGTGAATTGCCAAGCTAATGTCCGTGTGAAGATCTGGAAATGGACTTTCTAGGAAAAGGGAGAAGGAGGACGAGTTTATCATTTACATTGTTTTTTAGGAAAAAGAAAAGGCAAAAGAAAATAGAGAAAAAGTATTGTCAAATTAAATAGTTAGTGAGATAATATTCTTATACGTATGAAATATTTTGGTTGTGTACCTAGCTAATTTATACACTTATTTTTGTGAGTATAAATTCTTTTGTTATTGTTACTTCCTTTTTTATTATGTTTACAATATTTTGTTCATTAATTATTTGAAATGAAATTCTAATACTTGCCAAATAACATCAGAATTTGAATTCTAGAATTGAAATTATCAATTTCCCAAACAGGCATTTGGATTTAAAATTATGATTTTTGAATTTCTTGTGGTTGCCAAACACCGAAATAGAATTTGAATTATGGAATTTCAAATTATAGAATTGAAATTCAAGATTTGAAATGAATTCCCCTATCCAAACACTAACTAATTGAGATTGTAAATTTCAATTTGCAACGCTTTCAGTTTGGTCTTCATTTTTGTCAGTTCGTCGGCAGTAGCCAAAAGCTTGTCCAGTCTCCCCTGTGCTGCTTCTCGATAAGGCTTGCCGATGAGTTCTACCAAACCCTCTAAGTACAAACTTGTCTCCAACACGTCTTTCTGCATCGCTTCTTCAATCTCACGTGCTAACCCATCCGCGATTCTCTTCACCTTATCCACAGCCTGTCGCCTACGAGCTGGAAAATTGGAGATTGCTAAAAAGCTGTGACATAGATAAGTAGTATTAGGATCAGAACTAACAGCACCACAAAGCCAATCAAGGAGAGCAGAATTGGAAGAGGGAGAAATGAAATAGCTAACCCTGCCACAGAACAAAGGCCAAGAGCAAGAATATCTTCTAATGTTGTTGATAGAATAGAAGTCAAAACCGATGCAGAGAAACCCGCTGCTCCGAGCCCGCCAAAAGTCCAAAAGAACTGGAGAGCAAATGTGAGTTTTCAATTCATTTTAGCACAAATTATAGTAATAAAACAAAGTGAGCAATCAATTGCATTGGAAAGTTTAGTCATGTGAGAAGGTAAATAAAAATATGATCACGTGCCACTTCACGTATTTCTTGATCAAACAGCTTTGACGCAGCACTCGGACTAAAAGCTTCCATCACATGTGAGCTTAGAAGTTGTTTGCTCCCAAGTAATGTACCAGCCTGAATCTGCTTTTCCGCATCAACTAAAGAGCTATATCTTTTCTCAAAACGGTCTCTGTAGAATAGTCTTTCATGGTCCGCATTAGACTGTAACCATGCCTTGAACTCAGCCAGTAGCTTCTGAAATTTGAATGTTTTTTAAGAAACAATAATACATCAGTTTTAAACAATTCCACAGAAAATCAAGTAATATCATGTACGAACATATAATTGGTACATAGATGGCGATCAGAACAAGCTCTGATATACAGATATCAGAATACTAACAATACTTAGTCTTGATATTAAACAATGATCATCGCTTTAAAAAATTGACCTGAGAGCCACAGAGTTTTTACACATTCAATGAACCTCTCCAGCAGGTTCTGCCATTTATTACTGGGGTTAGGTTCTTCAGTCTATTCCTATTTAGACAGGCACCTATATTCCTTACAGTTATGTACTACTCTGCCCACATCAATCCTTTTTTTTCACTAAAAGCAAGAAGTCGACAAAGTACCAAGGGAAATACCAGTGATTGGAAATTGTAGTGCAACGAAACATGCACCCGAGAGAACAAAAATTACACAGTTCTGGCAATAGTAAAAATAAACTAAACGAATAAAGCACACTTAATAGGAGACCTCAGGATACAAGAAGAAAATATGCAACTAGAGATTCTTGAAATTTCTCACAGCAGATTGCTGACTTCCAAAAAACACTATCCGCATTTCATATGGGGAAAAAACAAGCACGGGATGATGCGTTCACACGCAACTGGTGCAAAAAAGGCAGAGTTCAGATGGGGTCCGCAAAAAAGAACAAGCAGTAGAAGAAAACCCCCAATTAGGCAATATATGTTTATGTTCCTATTTCATAATTACTCCTCTCCTCAAGTAATTTTAAATTGTCTTTCTGTTTCTATGTAGGTTTTATTTGATTTATCTTTCTGTTTCTAAGCAGGTTAGGTGCAAGGCTCTATATAAGGATAGTTAAACATCTTATCATGGAGTTTTGGAAAATTAATAAAAGATTGTTACGGTGCTAATTAAACAACCCTTCCAAAGCACTTTATCCTTTCCGTTCTCCTTCTGCCAATGGCATTCCCCTCCAATGTTACTGTTTGCAGGCCACCATGCCGGAGAATACAGCGCCAACTCCACAGCTGATTCCCCTGTGAAAAGTAGCTACGCCCGGGAACATAAGATAGGGCAGTTGGCCCGATTCCGTTCCATATATTCATTTCAATTCCACTTGACCCATTGGCATCCCCTACAGTATGAGATGAGTTGAGATAGCGGCTATAGTCAGATCCCTTTTTGCTGAAAGTTGACTATTATAGAATCAACACACATCATGGAACATGGTGTTTGCTTATGAGCATTGTTCAACCACTAAAATCCGCTCATTTTCTTTTTAATAAAAACCTAAATTACACACAACAAAATCTTTACGAACATACCTAATACACTACACATTCGCCAGAAAATACCTAGTTTTCAACGACTCCAATTCCCTTTGATAACAAAAGTAATAGGGAGTTACTCCATCAATCATGATTTATATGAACATATATTGCGTTTTTTTGGAAATTTTACTTATAAACTATATGCTTGTCTTGTTTGATGTTTAGTAAGTACTCTATATTAAACATAACACCGCAAGTACATAACTTCATAAAGATCCAAAGTATTCTAGACACAGATATACAGGTTTAGATTTCAAAAATGTGCTTGGGCAAGAGTATCATCCAGAGTAAACAATACCAAAACATGGAAAATCTTGTTTCTGCAACCTAATTGTGACTTGTGAGTATAAACTCACTAGCCAACACCTCAGGAATCCAACTTTAAGCTTTAAGAGCATCCAGATCCCTCAATTTTTTCTTCAACATAATTGCAAGAGTGGATTAAACATCGGACAATGTATACTTAAAAGAGTATCACTCACTTCTGCTTCAAAAGCTGCTGGACCAATTATGTCATTTTTGACAATTAATGTAGCTGGCATTTGAGTAGTTTTTTCTCCTCTAAATACATATCCAGTGACGAGATCAAGGTTCGAAAGCCGTAGAGTATTATCTAAAAGCTGGACTATACGTGCCTGTGTAGTGTCAATCTGAATTTTCACAAGGCAGCAAGTCACAGAAAAGAAAGAGGTGTTTTGATAAAAGCATACCTAAAGAATAAAGATATAATGGAATATCAGTCATTAATGTGGAATGAGGGTCATACCACAGAGAGAATTTGCGTCTTCCAGGATAAGCTTTCATTTTCCATTTTCTTGTTCCAGTGTTTTACACCATCAATAAGATCATTCACAGACAATAAATCATTTTTTGCTATCTCACACTCTTCACTCACAAAAGTTTGGCAGGATGAAAGCAGCTGCTCTGCAATGATAACCGGTGTCTCAAGCTTAAGTCTCATTCGTTGAATTCCTGTACTTGTTGAGGCATCCAGAAAGCTATACAAGTACCTCTCAAGTTCAAAGAAACTTGCAGATTTCAAGAGAGACTCATCCAAGGATTGGCCATTAATATCTTTCAGAATGTCAGAAGAAGCTGAAAGCTTAGTTTCAAGAGCGCACCGTGAAGATACAGGGTACAGGATCACATGTTCAGTACTCAGCACCTTCTTTATATTTTCTTTTATAAAAGTGACAGCTTCATCTTGCTGCATAAATCATTAAATTGAGTTTAATCAATGTTTAGCTTAATTTTAGTGGTTCATACAACAAGAGCAGCCTCTGACCTAATAATATCAGGGCATAAAAAGCATATGACCAACCTCACCCGCATTCAAGTAAATGTCAGATTTATTCAGCACAAAAATGATACTTTTCTTCCACTGCTGAGTGTAACGAAGAAAATTGACCTGTTTAATAACATATATGCATAAGTGCTTGGGGCCAAAGAAAAAAATACAACACTGGAAACAAGAAATAGGTCCCTCAAAACAATCAGAGTTCAGACAGCTTAAAAAACATGGATGAATAATTTGTAACTATTAAGGGCACAATAATAATCCAAAAAGTATATTATTGATCATAGTCGTCATCTCCATCACCTTAATCTCAACTATGTTGGAGTTGGTGGCATGAAATTATTGCTAGAAATATAACAAATAGCTCTAATTCATGGGTTTCATTCATGATCCCTCATATGATGTACATGGCTGAAAAACAACCTTCATGTGTGGACTAAGTCCATTTAATAATTAGATTCCACAGTTGAGAGGGATGGAAAATGATAAATTAACGAATAAGTTTTCTTCCCACGTTGGAAATTTAAGGCTCTTTATATTGGTATAAAAGCTATTCAAGGAACATTGTTCAAATAACTTGCTAGTTGGCTTCAAACACAACCAGAGATTACAACAACCCAGTAAATCCCACAGAGTGGGATCTAGGGAGTGAGAGTGTACGCACAGACTTTACCCTTACTCCAAAAGACTCCCGGCTCAAAATAAAAGGAACACTTTAAAACATGTGAAAAAAAGGAATGACAAAGGATGGTTGCATGAAAGAAGCAAGCAAAAATGCAGATACAACTAAGGAAGGGTCCTAGGAAAGGGTAGAGCACTACCCAAAAGCCTATCATGCCGCTCTAATCCAAGACCTCCAGACGGGCCAATAAGGCCATATCCCTGGTATGATCTTGATGCACGAGATATATTCGCGAAACATGTAAACAAAAACTGAATTCTAAAACTACAAAACACCTCACATTTGTCTGGTGATAGGTCGAAGCAAGCAAGAAAGGGACTTGCAGTTCTGGTAATGACATAGGATTCTGGTAGCAAAGAGCAGTTCTGTCCTGATGAGCAATTAGTTAATTTGGGGGCTATCTTTTACTCAAGGCCAAACCATCTATCTAGCATAAATACGGCTCTTTATATTGGAATAAAAGCTAACATGTTTCAAGGAACATTGTTCAAATAACATGCTAGTTGGCTTGATACACAACCAGTATAACAACAACAAACCCAGTAAAATGTCACAGAGTGGTGTTTGAGGAAGGTGAGTGTATGCATAAACTTTACCCTTACTATAAAAGATCCCCGGCTCTAAAATACAAGCAACAATTTAAAACATCTGAAAAATAGGAAGGATAAAGGATAGTTGCACGAAAGAAGCAAGCACAAATGCAGATACAACAAACTAAGGGAGAAATCCTATGAAAGGGTAGAGTACTGTCCAAAAGCCTATCATGCAACTCTAATCCTAAACCTCCATACGCATCTAAGGCCATATCCCCATTGTGATCTTGATGCACGATATTTATTCCCGAAACGTGTAAACACAAACTAAATTCCAAAACTACAAAGCACCTCACATTTTTCTGGTTACAGGTCAAAGCAAGAAAGAAAGGGGAGTTGCAGTTCACGTGCTGACATGGGATTCTGGTAGCAAGCAGCAGTTTTGCCCTGATGAGAAATAAGTGAATTTGGCGGGGGTGTTATTTTACTCAAGGCCAATCCATCTATCTCCATTACACTAAGCTCCCCTTTTTTCTCTCTTCTATTTTGGCTTCGTACATTTTTCTGATCAATATTTTATATTTGTACTTGCAATTGTGTATTTGTTGGATTACTTAACCCGTGATAAAACTACACGAGTATAGGTTTCTGTTCAAACTTACTGTGTAATTTTAAAGTTATTATATGTGTCATTTAATAAATATTTTTTATCACTAATAACTGTGTTCAATGTAGTAATGCTAATAGTATCTACTACATCATACCTCACTTTCAGTTAATGGTCGATCAGCAGACATAACAAAAAGAAGCAAATCTGAACGAGGGACGAATTCCTCAGTCAGCCTTTGTTGTCGTTGAAGTATCACGTTAGTTCCAGGAGTATCAACAATAATCATCTGTGCCAAACACAATAAGAAAATATTATGGAACATAAAACAAAAAACTGGAACAATCTAGGTTGGGTGCTGTCCCGCCAGGAGGTTACTCAACATGGAATTAAAACTTTAATACGGAGTATGTAAGAACTTTCATGTTCCTTGAATTAAGTTAGACAGAAGGCACTATTTTCATGATCTCAAAGTACATACAAATTATTACTCCCTCCATCCCAAAATGAAGTTTAAACTTTCCTTTATGGGTTGTCCAAAAATTAGGTTTACATTTTACCTCATTACTTTTTATGAAAGGAATATAGGCCATGTGGCTAACAACATTTCACTCTTTAAAACAACTTTTAACCACACTTCATTTTTCTAAAACTCAGTGAAGTCAAAGTGTAAACTTCATTTTGGGACAGAGGGAGTATGATGTAACCAATCTGATATTGGAGGTGTTGGAGTTCCCACATCGAAAATAAAGATGAAGACCACTAGCATATATAGAAGGGTGAAGCCCTACCTATTAGCTTAAGCTTTTCGGTTAGAAGAGTGGATCCCGACTTTATATGCAAGTGGTTAATTTTACCCGACACTCCACCCATTGCTCTCGGCCCACCAAAATTTTAACATAGTATAGGAGCAAGTCTGGTCTGGGTTCGATTCTTCCTGGTTGTTGACGTGGGTTTAGCAAAAAGAAAAAAGAACTACCCATCCGTGGTTTGGGTTGAGTTGGCTAAAAAGAGATTGAGATGTCACTACCCGTTGTGTGGGCTAGCTATAAGAGATTGAGATGTTAGACCCGTTTGTCCAAGTGCTAACTAGGTCAAGCTAGTTATCACTTGAAGGGCAGTGTTGGAGTTCCCACATCGGAAAATAAAGATGAAGATCACTAGCATATATAGAAGGGTGAAGTCATACCTATCAGCTTAAGCTTTTGGGTTAGAATAGTGGATCGCGACTTTAAATGCAAGTGGTTAATTTTACCCGAAATTTTAACATGGTATCGGAGCAAGTCTGGTCCGGGTTCGATTCTTCCTGGTTGTTGACGTGGGTTTAGCAAAAATAAAAAAAGAACTACCCGTCTATGGTGTGGGTTGAGTTGGCTAAAAAGAGATTGAGATGTCACCGCCCGCTGTGTGGGCTAGCTATAAGAGATTGAGATGCTAGACCCATTTGTCCAAGTGCTAACTAGGTCAAGCTAGTTATCACTTGAGGGGCAGTGTTGGAGAATAGTGACTCCCAACTTTATATGCAAGTGGTTAATTTTACCCGACACTACACCCGTTGTTCTCGGCCCACTAGAATTTTAACAGGAGGTAAAAGGTTATACAGTATCTAGCTATAAAACACATGATGGGGAGTGATTCACAAGAAACAAGCTAACAGATTTATGAAATAGTTGCACCAATCAATCTTCCTCGGGATAAAGTGGCAGAAAGAATGGGCATTCCACAGGGATGCAAAATTTTCTGAGTTTAAGATTGGAGCATATTTAATGTAAATGAGTTAGGCATAATTTGTATAAAGAATCTGATCAAAAAAATCACAAGCATCATCACTCAAGGTTAGCCTGCATACGGAGTACTAATTTTGGGACAGAAATACATATATATAATCCACATACATATCATTGAGGATAAAATCAATATGCCTTTAAATATTAAAACTTAAAAGCAACTTACCTCTTTTAGAATAGGTACAGGTAGATAGCATACATATTGACCATCTGGATTCCTTTCACATTGTTGTAAATTATTTGACTCGCAATAGCGTAATGAAGTGATCTCATTGGTTGTAGGAACAACACCCTCTTTCAGGTACCTTTCTCCAAGAAGAGCATTGATAAAAGTTGATTTTCCAGAGTTGAACTCTCCCTGTAATGTGTAAAGAAAATTAATGTGCANTCAATATGCCTTTAAATATTAAAACTTAAAAGCAACTTACCTCTTTTAGAATAGGTACAGGTAGATAGCATACATATTGACCATCTGGATTCCTTTCACATTGTTGTAAATTATTTGACTCGCAATAGCGTAATGAAGTGATCTCATTGGTTGTAGGAACAACACCCTCTTTCAGGTACCTTTCTCCAAGAAGAGCATTGATAAAAGTTGATTTTCCAGAGTTGAACTCTCCCTGTAATGTGTAAAGAAAATTAATGTGCATCTACACTCATCTGAAAATATGGTGGGGGAGGGAGGAAGATGAGATGATGACAGTCACAGAAGCAGCTTCAATGCATGTTGAGGGGTAGTGGGGTACCAATCTAGAATAGGACAGCTTAGGTCCCCCCCCCAATTCCACACCCCACCACTCCATGTTTATTGCACTCAAGCAACCAATGTAACACAATAATCAGCATTTTTGCTTCCAACACATAAGCTAACAAACAAGATTATAAAAGTTGAAGAGCATTGATAAACGTCGATTTTACAGAGAGAGTATTTAAGCTAGACCCGTGATGTTGCTACCCAAAGCTTCAAAAAAGTAAGAAGTGACAAGTTTAATGTGTCATTTTATTTTAGCCCATTATGTACCTGAAGATAAAGCATTGTCAATGGTGACTCTTTTAGATCCATTGGCAATGGGCGCTATCTTAAAAGTGCAGAAAAAATAATTCAAAGAATGAAGTCTAGCAATTTGAAATTTATATAATACCCATGCATGTCCCTGGAACCATAATTTCCTGAAGTTAAGCTCACAATTACCACTATAACCAGTAAAAATGGATCATCAAGCTGAGAGACAGCATCAAAGAGCAGTGAGACCTCTTCCATCTGTCATCCCAATACTTTCTCAGATTAGCATAAACAAGGTTACAACCCGAAAAAAATATTATGCAATACTTCGGATACTAATGTCAACCATAAAGCTCACCAGCGGAGTAGCTGTTTTTATGGCATTTATTGTTTCATGCAAGATAAGCTTCTCGGCTTCAATAAGCTGTTGTTCTCTCTCATGCAACCTGGTGAAGCCGGCCACCACTTTCTTTCCCTGATATCCATTAACAGAACAAAACTTTTGAGACACGTAGCTTTCCTCCAATGCATGAGCACCACAAAACAGTTGGCTAAAATCTTCATTCCTCATAAGATTCAATTCGTTCATAGATATAACCAAACCACTAGCTCCTAATTGAAGGAAATATGAAACTTCATTGAATAGCTTCCCTTCTCCAAGTGAATCAAGCATGACAAAAACTGGCACTTTCAATGTCTCGAAGACAGAACTGACCACCTCATCTGATCTATTATTATCTCCAACATTATATATAATAAAGTCAGCCCCTTCAGAATCCGATGCTTGAAGTGCAGCCTTTGGTGTTTGTACAAGTCTTGCGACCAAAGGGAGAACTACTGACTTGGATTTTGCATCCAGCATTGTATTCCTAGCCACAATGGTAGGGAGACCTGATTTTTTACCAATACCCAACTAGGTCAATTGTGATCTGGATTATCACTGATTCAAAGATAATAAATTTAAAAAAAAAATCAAATCATTGTTCTAAGCATGTACTGTGGAAGGTAAATGAAATAACCTTGATCTGAGAGCAAAACTCCACTGGCATTAACTGCCGCTGCAATATCAACGCGTTCATCAACCAATAAGTAGGCTCTTTCCCGGATGACTGACTTCAACAAGCAAGCAGCCTCGTACAATCTCCCGTCGGTCATCCCACATCCACTGAGCAAAACTATGCCGACCCGAGATGATACCTCATTGTCTATCTTATCAAGAGCGGTTTCATCGTAGAGAACATCTCGGGCGTTAAGCTGGAGCACGAGATTGGGAACTTTGATTTCCGGGCGCTTGAAGCCGCCGGGAAAGAGCGTTCGCAGCTGGTGCTTGGGAGTCTCTTCATTTTCCAGCAACAGTGAGACGCCAGTACGGGCGCCGCGCACAGATATGTTGGTGCAAGGAAGACGAAGGTGGGAAGGTGAGTGGTGCCTTGGGGTCAGGGAGAAGAAGAGGCTGAGTAATGGAGCGTGAACAGAGCAGCACTGAATGGGTAAAGATAACATGGATGAAGTTGCAGGTAGGAAAAAGGGTGGATGATGATGGAGCAGGGGAAATGACTCGAGAAGAAGAAGACGAACCGCCTAACTGAAACAGCCTGGTCTTCCCGGATCTTATCTGCGCGACTCGTTTGGATACAAGAGTGCGAGGGGTTGTAGGGTTAAATGTTGAATGGTATGGCATTTTAGGTGAACCCTTCGTATTACGGTGGTAAGGCTTACTATTGTGATAAGTCATTCTAATTCGACCCCGTTCTATGGCCATTGGATTCCAGTGGTCACGGAAGTCATTGCCTCCTACAGAGTTTCGTTCATAAAATTAATGATTCCTATCCCTTCTAATTCCCCGGTAAACCCCCGCCAAGTTCCGACCTAAATTAATCACCCTACCTACGTCAATTGCACCTCATAAGTATAAAGTCAAAACTTTTGACTTTAAAGTCAATTATACTTACAAGGTGCAATTGACGTAGGTAGGGTGATTAGTTTGGGTCGGGACTTGGCGTGGGGTTTACCGGGGGTTAGAGGGAGTAGGAATCATCAATTTTATGAACGGAGTTCCGTAGGGGGGCAGTGGCTTCCGTGGCCACTGGAATCCAGTAGCCGTGGAACCATGGAACCGGGATCATTCTAATTTCCAACCCACTTCCACAACTAATTTCACGCTAATGGATATCAAAAGGATTGCTTATAACAGAATAGGACACTATCAGTTTGGGCGTCAATAGTAAAAGGATAGAACTGAAAAACATTTGGGTCAAAAGACTTGTTGGAAGTGGGAGGTCCGCGGGAACCAATGAATATTTTTAATTGGAATTGGAGTGGACTTGGCAACCGGACGGCAATTCAAGTGTTGTTGGATTTGATCCATCAGAGGAGGCCTAGTGTGTTGTTTTCAATGAAGACTTTTAGGGTCTGACTTGATTTGGATTACTTGTTTGCTGTGAACCTTGTGGGAAGGACAGGCGGGTTGACTCTTTTTTGAAAATGTGATATCAATCTGAATATTCTATGCTTCTCTAACCTTGATCCTTGATCCTTCTGTTGACGTACTGTAAGTTAAGTTTCACTAGTTTCTATGGGAGAATCCTGAGAATTATTGTGTCAAATAGCTAATACTCACAATTTGGCTTGGGTTGTCATGGGGGACTTCAATGATCTCCTCTCGCAAGATGATAAGAAAAGGCATCATCCACATCCTCAATGGAAACTAAGAGGCTATCAAGAGGTGGTGCTTGACAGTGGTTTGCGCGACCTCCCGTTTGAGGGATTTTGGTACACCATGGAGAGAGTGAGAGGAACCTTGGCATGGGTTGAGGAAAAGCTTGATAGAATCTCAGTGAACGAAGCTTAGCTTGATCTTTTTGGAGATGCTATGACATGTTCTTTAATATGTGGGTATAGAAATCATCTCCCCCTATCTCACTCCTTTGGAAAGTGTTAGCCAATAAGCCCAATAGGCTTAAGCCCCATCTCCAGACAATTATTCCTGACAATCAGAGTGCTTTTGTCTCAGGATGCTTGATATCAGACATTATTATGCTTGCTTACAAAACACGCCACTTTTTGACAGTGTTGAACAGGGATGCTTAAAGCGTATTATGAGGACACTTTTTTTTAGAGAAAAGTGGATAGGGCTGATGCAAGAATGTGTTTCCACTGTCACTTTTCTTATGTTGCGTGATGGTGGTGAGGTTGGTCCTATCATTCCACGCAGAGGCATTAAGGAAGGAGACCCATTCTTGCCTTATTTATTCTTACGCATCAATGAAGGTCTGAGTGCGATGACCAATAGGAAAATATAATGGGGTAATCTCCATGGTATGATCATTGCTAAGGGTGCCCCAACCAACTCACACCTTTAGTTTACTGATGACTATTTTCCGTTCTTCAAAGCTCTTAAAGGAGAAGTTGCAACTATCCAAGATGTCCTTGCTAGCTATGCGATATCTACTGGGAAACGTATTAACTATGACTACTCTGGGTTATGCTTCAGTATTAATACACAGGATAAATTATATGGATTACATTAATGGTATGTTAGGAGTTCAACAAGGGAGCACTTTAGGGAGATATTAGGGTTTGCCTTTTCTCATTGAGAGGAACAAGAATGATATTCTTGACTTCGTGAAGGATAAAGTTATGACTTGTATCAAAGGGTGGAATAACAGACTTTAATCCAAAGCAGGTCGGGAAGTTCTCCTGAAGAATATTATTCAAGCAGTACCAAGCTATGTTCTGATGGTTTTTTTACTCTCCAAAAGACTTTACACTGATATTGAAAAGGCTATGAATGCTTATTGGTCATCCGGGAATAAGGAACGTAAGCGGGGTATCTACACTATACTTAAAAGTAAGGGAGTTTTTTCCCCAGCTTTTCCCGCCCAAATGATGTATTGAAATGATAAAAATTGAATATCATTGAAATGGTAAGAGCATTTAATGTACATTATTATGAAAAAAATATGGGAATTTAATTATGGAAATGTTTTGTAGATTATGTATATCTATCTATATTATATTTAAAAGCAGGAGAATTTTTTCTCTAGCTTTTCCCGCCCAAAGGATGTGTTGAAATGGTAAGAATTGAAATATCATTGAAATGGTAAGTACGTTTGATGTACATTATTATGGAAAAATATGGAAATTTAATTATGGAAATTTTTGTACATTATTACCTTAATGTCAATTTATATGGTGTATTATTACCTTTTATAGAGGCAATAAATTTTTGAGTAATGCTAGAATCACAAATAAAATACTCACAAAATATAAAAACTTACCGTTTGTGTATTTTAATTTTTATTTTTTAATTATCGAGACCATTATTTGAGTTCATTACTTTACATATTTGGCAAAATTTTGAACTTTGTGAATGTTTCTTGTGACTCTAGCATTACTCTAACTTTTTTTTATTAATTTCACTTACAGTATGTTATTGCCTTTTATAGAGAAAATAGAATTAATTACCTAAGCGTATATTAGACCTAAGCGTATCTAGACCTACTATTACAATAATTACATTATCAACATTTAACACAATCCATTATGCCCATCAATATGTTCTTTTTTTGGCCAATACAGGGCCAACAGTGTAACTTGTAAGAGAGTATCAAGAAAATGCCAAGGAAAAATGCCCTATCTTTATTGATCATCGGCAAATAAAATTTCCATTTTTACGAGTGAAATGTTTTCATACAACTGTATTAACTGGAAAATGAAAAAGGAATAAAATAAATGTAAATGACGTAGGGAAATGAAAAGAAGAAGAAAAAAAGTGGGAGCCGTCCAAGATAATGTTGATCTATCAACATCCACTTTCTCTAACACCGTACGTGTTTTCCTATTACGTTTCTCTTTAATTCCCCCCCTAACCTCCCCAGAAGTTTACTATATTTACATCTGCGCTCTCAAAGGATATAATAAGCTGAAGCAAGAATTGTCCTATACCCCAGTGTTTGGTTTACAGTCAACTCGAAATTACCGTGACTTTGCTGGGTAGCCAATCTCCTCCATTCTTGCCGCTACTCAAATCTGTGTCTGGTTCGAGTTGAAGCCGTACAATAATGGTGTTGTTCTCATGGGGAGAGGAGAAGAGAGACTCGAGCTTGTCGAAGCTGGGAGCCAACACGTTCTGGACCCACTCCTCTAGGCTGGTTTGTCCACGCCACAGTCCCGCAGCAATCCTGTCCACCACATCATCTTCCACTCTTAAGGCGACCTTGTCGTCTTCAACATGGATGGAGAACTTGTTGGAGATTGTCTTCCTAATCTCGCGGCGAACAAAGGCAAAGTCGATTGGCCTGAAAGCAATTGAATCGTCTGCAGCATTCACAAACTCCTGAGGAACAGATGTGATTGAGAATTGCATGTTTTCATGGTCGGGCTCTTCTTCTTCTTCTTGTTCGTGGTCAATAGTGAGATCGCTCGAATTGTGGGACCCATCCGTTCCGTCATCACCTTCTGCTGCTGCCGCTTCGTTGAGGTCAAAGGTGAGGCCTGAGCTCAGTTCTCTTCTCAGTTTTGTTCGCCTGTCCTCTTCTTCATCATCAACCAACCTGCGCTTCGTGCTCTTCTCACCTATTGTTAGCCTCAACTGCCAATTGCCACTACAGAGAGAAGAGAGCTTCTTACTATCCATCAAGTTCTCATTTCTGTGATTTTCAGGGTTTACTGAAGACCAGTTTCCTGCAAGAATGAACACAATGTTGCCGAGACTAATTTCGCGTCCATGAGAATCGGCAAGCCTGCCTCTTTCCATCGCACGCTTTATATTCCCCTGCACAACCATATTAGCCTCATCGACATCCTCTAGCATAATGACAGAAAACGGGTTCTTTCTAACCGCTTCTGCAATGCGGTCAATAGCTGTTTTACCACGGTAATCCTTTTCTGTTTCTTCACCGTCGCGGATTGAGCCAAGAGATATCAAAATTGGAGCAGCCCCACATACTTGTTGGGCAAGAACTGATGCCATTTTCCTCTTGCCAACCCTATCAGGGCCTGTAAATAACAACCATATATCACCCTTTGATGCACTGAAACGCTGTCTTCCATTGCCCAATCTACATCTTGTAACAGCAGAAGCCACAGCAGATGCCGCATCCTGCTGCCACCACGCCTTCGCTATGAGACCCCTGAGGAGCTTTTTGTACGTGTCGGCATCCAACACACTGGCAAATTTGTCAAGCTTTTTATGCGGCACGGAAGAGATGCAGCCTAGGAAGTCTTTAACATTGTCTTCTTGAGATTTCCGGGATGTGATTTCTGTCGTTTTTTGCCCAAGAACCAATTCGGTTCTCACAGGGCTTTCCAGAGGGGTATCTGCAAGCTCTGGTCCTCTGCTAGATATTTGATGCGTGTTCAGTTGCAAAGTCTTCCCAAGGACTTTAGTAGTTTGCAGTTTAGGATGAAAATTCTCCCCCGGGTTTTTTAATGTTTGTAGTTTAGGTTGCAAAGGTTGGCGCAGAAATAAGTTTAAGTTCTCTAAGCCTGGCATACCCAAAGCAGGAGAGACTGTCTTCTTCTCAGAACTGACATTACTGTGGTGGAAATTTGGATGAAGTTGCAAACATTTTTCACTCCACTTTTTCTGCAAGGCTC